TGATATATGAGTCAACTTGTGTTTCACTTAGATTGTAATAGTTTATATTCCTAGGATGTTGAAATTTGAGCCTGGAGAGACTTAGCATTTGACTGGATAGACCCATTAGTTATGGTGTTTGTCCAAGCTAAATTTGAGGCCTCTGAATCCACAGGGTTGGCATGAAATCTTGTGGGAAGTTTTCTCATGAAAACTTTAGCCCTTCTACTTCTAAGCATTATCAGTAATAGCTAGTAGGAAATTAGGAACCATGGGTTTCTAATTTGATTTCTTTATTTATATAAAAGAGTACTATTTTGGTGTTTTTGAAGGAGATCAACTTTGGTGAAAAGGAAGGATAAAATAAACTAAAAATGAAAGGAAATCCATACATGTTGCTTTTGCTAAATATGTTTGGAAATGTGAGAAAAGCCCAAAGAGGGAGATTCTTATTCCTTAAAGTCAGATGCCACGCTCTTGTATCTGAGTCCTAGAAAATATCTAGCAAACTGGGTGTACTCAGTGCTTGACATTTTTAGGGCATTTTTAATGCTTGTGTTTGTAGTTTCTGCTGTTGGTTTTGCCTTGTTCAAATTAAAGATTAATTTTAGTATAGGATAAGAAGAGCCTGCTAAAATAGCACCCCTACCTACCTTCACTAATTAGAAGATTTAGAGTTGAATAGAAAAGTGGCCAGGGAAAAATCAATTTCCTTGAGTATGAAGTTTAAATTAGATCCAATATCTTAGAAATGAATGTCTTACAATAAACACCCTCCAGGGGCAATTTATGCTGTTCTGGACACTATTGTACAATTTAATGGGAAGGAAGGGGAAATAGAAGCCAGTTTATTGTACAGAGCATATCACCCTGGCTGTGATTTTTAATGGGGTTAAGCAATATTTATGAATAGAGTAGCATTTTTTCCCCATACATTTTAAGAAATGTAATCCTGAATTATTAGCATTTGACTTCTTAGGTACTGTTACACACGTAATATGGGCTTCCCTGGTTGCTCAAGGGTAAAGAATCCGCCTGCTAATGCAGGAGACGCAAGTTCAATCCCTGGGTCAGGAAGATTCCCCTGGAGAAGGAAATGGCAACCCACTCCAGTATTCTTGCCTGGAGAATCCCATGGACAGAGGAGCATGGTGGGCTATAGTCCATGGTGTTGCAAGAGATCAGACATGATTTGGAGACTGAACAACAATGATACATATAGTATAATATTGCCACACTTCACAAGAATGCCATTGCCAAGGGGTTCTTACAAATTTATATGTAATATATGAATTTGTGAAACTAATGATTAAACTAAAATAGATAAATTATCTGTTTATTTATATTATTTTCCCATGGCTGCTATATCAAATTACCACAAACACAATGGCTGAAACACATTTATTGTCTTGAGATCAGGTGGTCAGAAATCTGAAATGTGTCTCAGTGGCTAAAAATCAAGGTGTTGGCAGGACTGTTCTTTCTGAAGGCTTTGGGGGAGACTGTTTCCCTGCCTTTTCCAGCTTCTAGAGGCTGCCCACATTCCTTGGCTCTTGGGCCCTTTCCTCCGTCTTCAAAGCCAGCAGTGATCAGTCCATCTTTCTCATGCTGCATCACTCTCTCCTGCCCCCTTTTTCACTTAATGGGAATTCTTGTGATTGCTCTGGACCCACTGGAATAATCCTAGATAGTTTCACCAATCGCACGATCATCTGATTAGTACCCTTAATTTCTACCTGCAACTCGAATTCTCCCTACCCATGTTACATTACATATTCACAAAGTCAAGAAATTAGGCATCTTTAGAGGGACATTCTACCTTCCACATTATCTGACCTAAATTTTTGCATAATTATCCTGGGTGATATCTTGGCCATGTCCTGAAGCAGGTGAGCAGAGAGACAGGAAGATGGGACGCAGGAACCATATGAGATGACACAGTGGTTTAGATAAGGGTAGGAAAAGCAATGGAGGTGATGAGAAGAGACAGGATCTCTGAAGGTAATTGGCTGACCTGTTAGATGTAGGATGTGAGAGAAAGAGAAGAGTTGTTTGGGTGGTCCAGGTTTTTGATCTAAGCAATAGGAAGAAAAAAAATTGCCATTAATGAAGATGGAGAAAACTACTGAAAGAGCAGTTTTAGGGCTTTGGTGCTTAGTGTGTGGAAGGTTGAGAATGCCTCCTCTCCTGAGTAAAGAAGCAACATTTCTCTGGTACTTGGTAGTGATTCCAGTCTGGCAGGTCTTTCCCCTAGGAGGGCCAGAGGTGCGGGCCTTATGGAATTCCTACCAAGAAATGGCAGATTGGACTCATTGCTAGCCTCTGCTTCCCTCCTCCTGTTTATGGAGGGGGCTGAGATGAGGGGAAACACTGACTTTTTAATAGCCATTACCCTCTTTTGGAGCAATTTCTAGGATATCAGAGTTGTCAAAAACTTGGACTTGCTAAGTAAGGATTGGGAGGGTGATAAAGAAGAGAGAACTCCTTTTTTGCCTTTGCTGTGACCTCTGACCTTCAGTGATTCACAACCTACTAGACCAGAACAGTTGTAACATCTTGATATTAAACCTGCTTCACAATGACCATCACTTGCCAGACCATCCCGAATTGCCTGTGTCAAAACTTAACTTGCACAAACTAAATAAATGAGTGTTTCTTCCAATATTGAGCCCCTGGAAACATCCTTTTTTCTGCAGGGATTCCAGATACTTCCAACCAAAATGAGCTCTGCGTGGCAGTTTCATATTATTACTGGGCTTTTATTTCTTTTTTCTCGGAATTCAAGATTCCTTTCAAAGACCTCCTGACAGTAGATTAGTTATTCCAGTGGTTTCTGCAGCCAAAGAGACTTTGTGGAACTTGAAATAACCCGAGTTAATGTATATTAGGAGAGTTTATGGTGTCGCAGGTGTTATGCTAAGCACTTGCATGGCTTATCCTATTTAATTCTTATAACAAACTGATGAAGTCATAGGGATTACTTTGGCTACATTTTGTGGTTGGAGTAATTAAAGCTAAGAAAGGATAAGTATTTACAACTAGGAAATAATGATGATGGAGTTCCACGCCAGACAATCTGATTATAAAAACTGTGTTTCTAACTGCTGTACTATATGTTCCCCAAATTGATCCCTGCCGTCTATTTATGCTTGTATTATTGTGTGTGATTGGTGTTAAATTGCCCCTAAAGTCTCATAGCTGGCTCTCTGCTCCTCTGTGTGGACTTGTCCAGAAAGCTCGACCAGTTCCTCCAAGAGGGAAAGGAATTCCTGGTCAAAAGGGTCATCTTTGATCCTGCTGCTGGTGAGTCCTCAAGGCGCCTGCCTCCCAGTCACAGTCAAGAATTGAGCATGACTCTGCCTTCATTGAAGGCAAAAGGAGAAAAGGGCGACAGAGGATGAGATGGTTAGATAGCATGAACTTTAGCAAACTCTGGGAGAAAGGGAATCCGGGTGTGCTGCAGTCCATGGGTTCACAAAGAGTCGGACACAACTGACCGACTGAACAACTACAACTTTTCCTGCACACCCACATTGCCAAGTAATTGCATTCTCCACTTTAGTTTCTGTTGAATACCTGCTTGCTATAGTCATCCTGCTCTTTCAAAAGACCCTCTGTCCTAAGAACTGTGAAGCCACTAAGCCCCATCACTGATCGCTCTCCATCTAGCAGCATCAGAAAGCTGACTGCTCACCCTGAGATCATGTGACCACTGCTGAATCAATCCTGATTTTGTTTAGGAGCAGGCTGCCTCGAGAATGACTTGACTGTGAACTTCATGAGGACATGGGTTGTATCTGTTTTGTTCCCTGGTATCCCTGGCACCAAGCAAAGTATTAGGTTCAGTTGGTCCATCATTTTCATGGAAGCAGAAGTTGTGAATAGAGAGAGCTGAATGTGCTAAGTAAATTTCTGTTGAACGATCAAACTATGTACTGCCGTGAATACATACCTTACTGGGAAACTCAGCTGTTCGTGCTACAGTAATGCTTCTAGGCCATTGTCAGTTCCACTAGTCACTGCAGAGGCCCTGACAATCAACTCAATGGCCCCATGCTCCCTGCTGAATCAGATATGGCCATTCTGCACCCACTCCACGTGACTTGAGTTTAATGCACATCCCACAAAGCCCAGCCCTTTCCCTAGCCAGAGGCAGGTACTTAGGAAGTTTAAAGGCTGTAAGCTAATGGTAACCACAGTTAAGAAGTAGTGGAGAGAGAGAGGCTCTACATACAGGAAATTTTAAGCACTAGCCTAGAGTAAAAAAATACTTTCTTTGGCCAATTTAGTGAAGTCATCAGATTTCTGTCTTCCATCACTTTTTGTTTCTCTGAGGTCTTCAGTCCACTCATTACCCTGAAACTGTAACCCTTTCTCTGCTAAGTTCATGGAGTTTTCAGGTTACCTTGTGGAATTTATCTTGCTCTGTACTCATCATTGTTTTTATTTAGCCACTCAGTCATGTCCAGCTCTTTCTTACCTCTTGGATTATAGCCCACCAGGGTCCTCTGTCCATGGGATTTTCCAAGCAAGACTACTAGAGTGGGTTGCCATTTCCTTCTCCAGTGCATTTAGACAATACGACCTCCCAAATAGTAAAAAAGACAATTCTGTGTCTCTCTGCAGATTTTTATATGTCTTGAAACTTCATCCTTATCCAGCTCTCCTTTCTGTGACATACAGGAAGAGAGTACAGTACTTCAAGGATAAATTTTCTTTGATTCCCTTCCTTGATCTAAACACACACACACATGCACACACATACAACACACACACCTGCTTGGTGCAATTAGATTATTTCTGGCCAGGTAAGAAAGTAATGCAAAAGCAACTTAAAAAAAAAATCTCCCGGCAGTATGACACCTCCTTTAATTTGTTGATGAAGCTGTTACTAGAAACTGTTACCAATAACAGAATTCTTCATTCACTTCAAACAGAGACACACACACACACACACACACATACACACACACACACATATCCAGTGCTTAAAGCTTCCTGTTTCTTTTTTCTCTTCCCAGGCAAGAAAGCTCATCAGTGACTTTGCCATTATCTTGTCCATTCTCATCTTTTGTGTAATAGATGCTCTAGTAGGTGTGGACACTCCAAAACTAATTGTGCCAAGTGAGTTCAAGGTAGGTGAATTTCTATCTTTTGGTCATTCCCTGATTTTCTTTCCTTTCCCTTATTCTATTTCGTCTTATCTCTTAGTTAGTTTTGTATTGTTACCCATTTCTTTGTTATAACTGGTCTCTTGCTATGCATTTTGTCTATTCTTTCACTAAAATCAAATGCCTGACTAGAACTAAATGCAAGGTTCACATTATACTGATTTTGATTGAAAATACATGCATTATAAAATCTGTTTTATCTATCTAGAGTATTTAAAGTATCCAAAACATTTTCAAACAACTTGTAACCTTGATGCATATAATAATTCTAGGATGCAATAGAACTATCATCACCCTGATTTTGTGAAGTTGAGATTGAAGCTTATAAAAATTAAATAAACTTTCCAAGGTTACATTACTAATTCAGTGCTGTTTTCCTGCTACCAAACAGCTTGCTATAACACACATTTCTATATAATGTGCGTTTTAATTATTACAAAGACAATATGGGAATTATTCATTTTATAAACCTATTGGTATGTGAAGACCTAATGGGTAGAATTTACATTTCAGTCATTCTTGAGTATCCCTGTCTAAAGTTTCCATTTTAAGTCTTTCACTTATTTTCTAAAACACCTGTAATCTTTCTCTTCATCACTGATAACCATATATTTGCTAAGAAAAATTAAACTAACAGCAGCTTTAGCTTCATGACTACCTAATGAGAAAGGGATATTAGTGTTATAGCAAACAAATTTTTTTTTTTTGCATTTTCTCTGCCATTAGCAAAGATAAGTTCTCATTTATTCAGTTATTTAAGTCAGCATTTATTGAATGTTTGCTTTAAGTCAAGCCCTGTACTGGGGATTTGAAATACATTGAAGAGCAAGACAGAGTTCCTTTCTTTCTAAGCTCACAGCCTGGTAAATGTAGTAAAATGTATATAGGTTCAGTGATGGAGTTATGAACAAAGCAAAGCAGAAATATCTTTAGAAGTGGGGATTTCTCAATAGTAAATGTGGAGAAAATAATTCATAGATAGAATTCTATTTTAGTTTATTTGTATTGTTTAAAATTCGGAAAAGAATAGGAAAATATGAAAATAAGAAATATTTGGTATAACATTAAATATTTGTAGCTTTTAATGTATTAATTATGAAACCATTTCAATTTGGCAGTAGTAGACACAACTTCAGTGCAATTGCTAAGACTTATGGACAAAATTCAAGGTGATTTTGTAGTTTCTTGTCTGCCTCATTACTGAATATTGCATTTGGGTTTTTCTTATGGCCATCCCTTAAATCACTTTCTTCCCTCCTGAGTCTTATCTTAGATCATCCTGAACATGCAAAATGACATTTGCTTCTTTTCCATCACCCTATATTCTTAGTTTTCCTTCATTTAAAACATTGCCTTAAAAATAACCTCCTTTAGGAAGTTTTTGGTGACTAGTCTAACCTATCAGTTTCTGTTGTTTTAACTTGTTGACTCTCCAAATAGAAAACTGTCTTCCCCACTTATTTTTCATCATGGAGTATGTATTAGTATTGTTCCAAATAACGTTTTCTCTCTTTCAAGCCAACAAGTCCAAACCGAGGGTGGTTTGTTGCCCCCTTCGGCGGGAACCCCTGGTGGGTGTATCTTGCAGCTGCCATACCTGCTTTATTGGTCACCATCCTGATTTTCATGGACCAGCAAATCACAGCTGTAATTGTGAACAGGAAAGAACACAAACTCAAGGTAAACGTTCATATCAACAGCTATCATTGCCTTCTCCTTCCTTTGTACGTGCTACTGAAAAATACCGATTACTTCAAAAGCAAAATAATTTAATTGGCATGTTATTTAAGACTTGACAGAGTCATAGATCACCCTGTGTGGACACATCTCCTCGGTGTACTACTTTTGGAAGACCTTCTTTAATCCTGGAAAAGATTGTTTCAAATCATGTTTTCTTCACCACTGGAGAGGGCAACATTAACTGTTTACCACTAAGCCACTGTTATCCTTCTGACTTTAACTTGGTAACTGTCCTTAATGAAGGCAAAGACAAATGCTTTTTCTAAAAAACTACTGAAATAAAAGTGTGGGTTTTTTCAACCTTTGCCAGAGTCAGTTGGTCAAAATAGTCAGTGTCATCCTCCATTCAAGGAGGTGCGGATGGACTCTGCTGTTTGATGGAGGGATGGTAATGTTACGCTGCAGGACAATATGTGGCAAAGAAGGTATTGTTGATTGCTTAGATGCTTGGTGGATATAGTGTTCATACTTTATATCCATTGATATATTTTTGAAGGGGTGGTGGTAAGACTAATTCATGGAAGGCCAGGATCCCTTCATACTGCATTTTAGGCTTGAAGTTTTCCAAACTGCAAAGGTAATGGGAATTCCAGCCCCAAACTCAGTTGTAGTTTTATGGTTAGGAATATCTTTAGAGATTTTTTGTAATGGCGTTATATCTAGTGGCAAGGCAAAAAGAAGTATGTGTCTTCACTGTCTCTCTCTGAGCGGGGGGGTGTTTTGGCTTTTTTTCCTAGTTGACCAAATGGCTATACTGTGTTTAGAGTATCCTAGTTTTATTTCAGAGGATGTCTCCCATCTATACCCTTACCCCATATGTCCCTAGGCTTGGTGTTCAGTCCCTAGGATTCATCTGGTCCTTCTAACTCATGCCTGAGCCCCCCAAGGATTAGCCCAGTGTTACAGGGCAGGCTCAAGCTCTTGGGTTTACTGATGTGGTAGATTTATTCTTTCTTGTTGCCATTATTTTTTGTTTCCAGTATTTCTCTTCCTTTCTGACAGATAGACCATGATTTCTATGAGACATTTTCTGTATTTTGCTGAGCATTTTTAGATGTTCTATACTGGGAGGCATTTCGGTCTTTGTTTAGTTTGAAAGGCTGGAAATGGATGTTGACTAATATATTTTATTCCTAAAATATTTGGAAACATCTTCTTACTTTTGGGATCTAGTTGGTCAGATTTGGTATGTGTCCTTGAAGGCAAACACCTATTCTTTTTGCCCATTAAGTTTCCTTACTAATAAAATGCAGAATTTTGAGTTTAGCAAGTTTAGGATAGATAAAATATTGAAATTTTATTCTTCTATTCCCTGTAGAAAACATTGGAAAATCAAGGCATATTAGGATTTACCTCTTAAAATAGGAGCTGGATATATTTAAGAAGTGTTTTCATCACCATTGGAATTGATTATTTGAAGTTTTTCCTTTGAATGACAATAGTTATAGAATAAGTGCCAGTGTTTTGACACAAATCTAAAGGTACCAGTTGAGCCATGATCATGAATTGAAGGCTTCTCACTCTGGATATTGTTTTGTTCAGATTTTGTTTGTAAAGAGGCTGTGGAATGTGAAAATTGAAAATTCTGTCTAAAACGATGAAGAGCCCTGACTGCTATGAAATTGATTCAAAAGAGAAACCTGAAACAGTGAGAGAGGTGGACACATTGTGATGTGAAAAGCGGCATGTTCAGGGGTGGTGTTTGCTTTGGCTCTGAGTCCAGTGGCCCTGGCCAGCCGATTGCTCTGTTTGGAATGGGACCCACCTTTCCATTGTGCAGATCAGCTCTGTGCTGATGAGGAACACCAAGGCACTTGGCTTTTTGTGGCCATCGTTTTGCTTAGTTATGTTCCACATTGTTCCTGCAGAGCTCTCAAAAGCAAACGAGGTTCAGCAAGGTCACAACTTCTTCAAGGCTTTTCCCTGAGTCATTGGCAGAAGCAGAAAGAGTTTGAGCTTCAGACCTCAAAGCTAGGGATACTCCTCATAAGGAAAGTGATTTTAAGTGTAATGATAGGACGTGGGAGGGAAAATCGTTTGGAATCAGCATCTAGAAATAGATATTAGATCATTGTAGCAGTAAATTTTGTGTGATATACTCTATGGTAAAACCTTTGAGTGTGTTTTCTTGGATAACTACAAAAGGTGCCTTGTTGTAACTTTTTCCTCTCTATTCCTTCTCTCATACCTTAGATTCAGTCCTTTAATCTCATGTCTAGACTATTCTAATGGTTTAACCATGAGTTAATGACCGATCTCCTTTGTGTCATTTCAAAACCTGGAACTTTTTAAAAAAACTTTGTTCTTAGATGTCAGTCCTATAGTTCTAAATGTTTATGTATTTTATTTCCTCTAAACCTTTCCCCCTTGAAGAATGTCCATTTGCCCTAGCTTGGAATTTAAGTGATATGATCTCACCCGAAATTTAAAATGATTCTGCATCCTATTCAATGTACTGATCAGATGAATTATTGGCATCAAATCTGCCAGTTTCTTCTGCTGGTTATTCAAACTTTCCTCTCTACTCCTCAGTAATTACCACCTATCAAAATCATCTCCATCCTTGTAAAAACTTGTCAGTGAAATCTTCACTCATAATGTAATTTCCATTGCATTATGTAATCACATATACAATATGTAATTTCTATTACACCTGTTTTTGCTCTTATTATGTTTGTACTACTCTATGCATTGGTCTTCCCTGGTTTCTCAGCGGTAAAGAATCTGCCTGCAATGCAGGAGACGCAAGTTTGATCCTTGGGTTGGGAAGATTCCCTGGAAGAGGAAATGGCAACCTATTCCAGTATTCTTGCCTGGGAAATCCAATGGACAGAGGATCCTGGCGGGCTACAGTCCACGGGGTCATAAAGAGTCAGACACGACTGAGAAACTGACCCGCCCATACACGCTATATGTTGGTCATGTAATATCTTGTGCAGTAGTTTTTTAGTATAACTTCCTTTTCTTCTTTTCTGAGCCAAAACATTTGCAAGGCAAGGACCATGTTTTAGTCCTTTTCCAGCTCTCATGTGGCCCATCACACTGATTTCCATAAGGTAGGTAAACTAAACACATACTGAAGAATTTTGTTATCTGGGGCTACATGGTCCTCAGAGTTGTACTCAATGTGTAAGGTGGGTAATAACCGAGAACCTTCCAACCCATCTCTGGTTCTCATAGGCAATGTGAGAACTTTAATACTAGTCAAAGCCCCGTTTAGATGTCATCACTGCAGGAAGATTTTGTGGGTTCACACTGGACACGCTTAAACACTCTGTACTCTTGGGTGTCTTTTTCAGACCTCTTTGAATCTCGGTTTAGAATACATTATAATTTATGTACGAATCTGTGTCCCTTCCCTTGGTGGGAAAAACTGTGTCCTGGTTTTCAGTGTCCCCATAAACCACCTTGCTCTCTGAATCCAGGGGGGCTTTTAGCATGAATGTTTATTCTGTATCTGTTCTTATGTGCATACTGCCCCTGACCCCTCTGTTATCATCTCTCTATCAAATACACTGTCGGGCTTGTCATTTTCTCTCAAGAGATTTTTTATTTCTGTGGATTTACTCCTGAATGACTGGTGTTCTATGTTGGCAAAGTACGTATAGTATCAAAAGGAAGTGAAAGTTTCAATGCCTATCCTTGCACTTAAACTATTCTGACAACTTAACCTTTTGCAAGCTTAGTGAGTCCTTGCTATGTATAGAACAGTTCCATTAGATATTAAAGATTAAAATTGTTCTCAGTCGTGGTCTCTACCCTGAAGGAGTTTTATGGATTTCCCTTCTTCACTACTCATATCCACTGCTAGGTTGGAATTGACCTTGTACTTGTATCTTGCACAAACCATAAGTTCTTTTCTTCCACCTCTGACTTCAACTAATAATCTATAAACCTTTCAAGGGAAGGTATTCTGTCTTATTGTTTTATCTAACACAAGATCTAGCATAGGTGTCCAATGAATGTTTATTTAAAAAAAAATTTTCTAAGCAAAGATATGAGCATATGCAAAGGCCCTGGGGTGAGGACGAGCTGGTGTATTGGGAAACAAGTAATTAACTAGTGTGACTAGAACCACTGGGAATTAGTGACTCAAGATAAGGTCAGTGGAAGTGGGGCCCAATCACCACTGAACAGACACTCTCAACTTCGGCATTATTGTCTTTCTGAATAATTCTTTGTTGGTCTTGTGTATTGTAGGCTATTTAGCAGCATCTCTGGCCTCTATTCCAGTCACACTCTTCCTCCCAAGTTGTCATGACTAAAGATATATCTCCAGATATTACTACCTGTCTCCTGGTGGGCAAAATGGTTATGGTAAGAAACACTGGTATAGGAGAATTTTACAGGGCTTAGGTGTTACATTCTGAGTGAAACAAGAAGCCACTGAAGGGTTTAGGGCAGGGAAGTACCATGCAATGACTGAGATTTTAAAGAGATTACTCTATGAGGAGAGTGAACTGCCAGGGACGAGTATAAAGCAGAGGTTTCTGTGGCTAGAGCTGCATTGAGGGCCAAGGGTTGCTGAGTGAATGTGAAGGAGGCCAGGAAGCTGAAGAAGGCAGTGGCCCTTGGGACGAGGGGTGAGGAGAAGATGTCACATGGCATTTTACAAAAATGCTTCCCATTGCTCTTATGATTAAAACTTCCAAAGCCTTTAACAAAACATGAAAGTTCTTAACTTCTTTAGCCTTATTTTATACCTTTCCCATCTCCTAAGCACCAGCTCAACTTAATTTTCTCAGAATGGCAGCCCGTTTGCCTGCTGTTCTCCCCCTGATTCCCTATATCTTGTCTTCCAGCTGATTATGGCTCATGTTTTAGGGCTCAACTTGGATACCACCTCTATGTAAACCATCCCTGACTTTAAGCTGAGTTGAATGAATAAAGGTGCTCCCCCTCTCATGGCATCCCAAGCTCACCCTTACTATCGACCTTTAGCACTGTGGTATTGAGAATGCCTGTTGATTTCTCCCACTCTTTTATTACTCTCTGAACCATTTGAGGACAAGGACTGTGTATTAACTGTAATTATATTTCTAGGATCTAGCAGAGTGCCACTGAACAGATGAATTAACCTGCATTCATTTATCCAACGGACACTTATCTAGTGTCCATGCTGTGGTGGGCTCTGTGTCATGTGCTGGAGTTTCGGTAGTAGAGAAAAGCTTTGCATATGGTCCCTGTCCTCATGGACCTTCTAGTCCCTGAGGGAGATGTGTCATTCCAATAATCAATCACATTGTCGCATTGCAGATAAGTATGGTGCTGTGTAATCAGGGCAGGGTGCTTGAAGAGTCTGTAAGAGAGGGTTTGATCCAGTCCAGAGGTACTGGGGATTCCAAGGTAGCAGCACTTACACTGAGATCTCACAGGTCCTTAGTAGGGTTAGCTGAGTGAGCCTGGGTAGTGAGAGGAACACAGGCGGGCACAGGACTCATTATGTAGGAACAGGCTTTAGGGAGCCAGTAACCTGCTGAGAATGAATGACTTAAATAATTGCGTGTGGCTGCAGTGAGAGAAGGAGGCTTGGGTCTGGAGAGAGAACAGTGTGGAAACAAACCATGTAGGGCCTTCGGGTCAAGTTGATGACTTCCCCTTCCTTTTAAGAGCATCAGGTACTCTCAGCCTAGTTAAGGGAAAAGAAGACTTTTTGAAGGGGGTGATGTCAAGAGGCAGGGTAATTATGTGTTTATAATTACTTTGTCCCAGAACTTTTATTTGTTCTGATGGTTTTGCAGTTACCTTTGTATTCTACTTTCTACAGTCCTCATTCCACCCTTTTTGGTATTATGTGGCCCCTTTTTGCTAGTCTCCAGGATATCTAGTTCAGACTTGTTTTACTTGAAATAGTTTAAGAAACCCTGGAGGGACTTCTCTGGTGGTTCAGTGGTTGAGAATCCACCTGTTGAGACATGGGTGTGATCCCTGATCCGGGAAGATCCCACATGCCGAGGGGCAGCTAAGCCTGTATGCCGCAGCCGTTGAGCCCACACTCTAGAGCCCGGGCCACTCCACAAGATAAGCCACTGCAATGAGAAGCCCATGTACTGCAACTCGAGAGTTAGCCCCTGCATATCACAACTAGAGAAAGCCCATGCAAAGCAATGAAGACCCAACACAGCCAAAAAAAAATAATTTTCTTTCTTTAAAAAAAAAAGGGTTAAAAAGCTGGTTTGATTTAAAAAAAGAGAGAGAGAAAGCATGTGGGTAGCTCGCCTTCATGACTTTTTCTGCAACCACTATACTTCTGATCCATTGGTCTGGTCAGTGTGCACATCCTTAGGTTATTACAGTTTCCATGGTGACAAGATATGGGGATTCTGCCCATCAAGTACCATGTTGGTACTTCTAATATAGTCTTGAGTGATTTAGTCTAAATGGAACTTGTAGCTATGTGATATTTCCAGATGTTGTCCACCTCCCCCTTATCCCCACAAAAGGTTCACATTTCTGCCAATAAGCAAGTAAGTTTTAATTTTTTGTATTGCTAACTAAGAGTTTATATTTGCCACTCAAAAGAATGTACACATTCTACTTGTCATTCACTTTTTAATAAACTTCAGTTGAGCATTGACTATACATCATGTGCTCTGCTTAGATATTCAAGATGCAGTCCAGTTCCTCATGTTACTTATAGTCAAATATCAAAGACAAATAAACACACCTACAATTTCAAAACATAATGATGAATGCTGTGATAGAGGAAAGCATAATTTAACAGGGAAATGTAAAGGAAGAGACCTAACCTAACCAAACTCACCTATCTCACCTTGGATAAGAAAGGAAAAACAATCAGGAAAAAAAAAATTTCCTGAAGCCTGATTTATGAATGAGTAGGACTGAGCCAAGGGAAGAATATAGGCTTTTCTAGGGAGGGATGTTACGTGGGCAAAGACGCCAAAGGCATCAGTAAGACGTATTTGAGGAATTGGTTGACAGTGGCTGTAACATAAGATCCAAGTAGGACAGAGGTCAAAGATGAGGCTGCTGATGTGAACAGAAGCCAGGTTGTGAATGGCCAACACACCCACAGGCAGAAGTCAGCAAACCCTCTATGTCCCACCTCAATATAAAGCCAGAATGCACGCAGTTTTTACCCCGTTCACTGGTGCCGCCCTGATTCCAACCACGACAGTCACTTGCACGGGTCATAGCAGCCGCCTCTTCATGGTTACTGTTCTCTTCCGTCTGCTTCTAACACAGCATCCATGGCATTTAGAATGTAAGCCAGTCATGTCATTCTTTGCTTTGAAACCCTACAATGGCTTCCTGCAGTACTCAGCATACAAATCCAACTTTAGTTCTCCTTAGTGCTTTCCACTGTTTTAGATACTGTGTAGATTACTTGTTTATGTTGTTTACCAGTGCCTCCTTTGGTAGAATGGAAACTCCACTAGTGCAGGAATTTTTGTCTGGTTTGTTTGCAAATATGTCACCAACACCTAAGCCTGTGTCTGTTCATAAGTTGGCAGTCAGAGTTTGTTGACAGAGTGAATGACTGAGACCCCCAGATGTAGCATATATTCGCCTCATTAGTCACTCCCTTGGCCTCCTCTCCCCTACCTGAAACTAGTCCCAGTTCAAACCCTTATGCTTCTTACTGCAATGAACTGGTTTTATGAATATATATTAACCTATTTGTCTCTCAAGGAGGCTTTCATTCTTAGTTAAACCTGGACAAAGTAAAAATATGCTTTTCTTTCTTGTGTCAGTTATCCTTCCCTGTGATGCGTTCTCTGAGAACATGATTAGACCCATGTGTGCAAGCCAGGGGAAAATCTTGGCATTTCGGTGAGAAGAGCGTAGTGTTCTGAATAATGTAACAGGATCTGAATGATGGAGTCGCCGGGTTCCTGGTGTAAAGCCCACTCTCATTTTTCACAGTCAGCCTCCCCATTCCCTCAGGTTGCTCACACACTGGCTTTTGGCGCCGCTGCTCCCATGCTGTGAAAATGGACTGCTCTGTTTTCTCAGGCTCCGTAGGGGGGTTAGGCATTTGGTTTCTTCACAAACAGAGCAGAGAAATATAATCATAGAGTAACATTGTGGACGCATTAAACAATATTTATTTAGTGAGTAAAAGAGCTAGACCTTTTGTTACATCGTCTGCTCTTCCAGTCAGTAAATGTTATGGTGACTCTCTGGCAGTGTTTGAAATCAGCCTATTCTTATTAAGGGAGTATAATTACCTTAAGTGTAATGTTTCAGAGGTTGTTAAACCATTATTTTCGTGTACTATGAGAGGTGAGAGATGGTCTTTTATGTACTTCTTTGTCTTTATTTTTTAATTGAAGTACAGTTGATTACAATGTTGTGTTAGCTTAAGCTGTTCAGCAGTGATTCAGTTTTTCATATTATATATTTATATATGTATATACACATACATATATATATAAATCTTCCTTTTTAAGATTCATTATCGGTTGTGCGGTCAGCTGCTGTTTGTTATCTACTTTATATATATTACTGTGTTTATGTTAATCCCAAACTCCTAATTCCCAACCCCCGTTTTTCCATTGGTAACCATAAATGTGTCTTCTATGTCTGTGAGTCTATTTTTGTCATGTAAATAAGTTGTTATATCATTTTTTTAGATTCCACATAAAGTGCCAAGGTTGCTTTTCTTAAGGCTGTTTTCAGATTTCTAGTCTACATGTGCTGAGTACTCTCTGAGTGAACAGCGTACTTCGAAATAGTCAAGCAAAGAATGCATTGTGTCTGTTTTTAAGGAGCTGATGGTGCTTACATTAAAAACAACCAGTATCACTGTTGCTACTATCATCATTCATTGGGCTCCTACTCTATAACCATCACTACCATTTATGCTCCCACAAGAAACTTTGCCTCAGTTACTTTATTAGGGGATCTCAGTATCTCCTCAAGGTAGTTGTATATGTCTATTTTTCCAATTATGTGATTGGATGCAGAGAGGATAATTAACAATAAACAAACAAGCTGTGACTCAAGCTCAAGGAGGTATATCATGTGACAGCTTTGCATTTGATTATTGAGAGAGAGCCTGAGGAAGATGAAGCCTCGTTCAAGGAGCTCACCTTCCAGTAGATATGTATTCCAAGCAGAGTACATTGGTTTCTTTTGGTAATCTTAACTCCCATCTGGAAGCATGACTAAATAGAAGTATATGTGCTTTCTCCACATGACTTTGTTACCTCTTGCTGCAGAAAGGAGCTGGCTATCACCTGGATCTCTTTTGGGTGGCTATCCTCATGGTGGTGTGTTCTTTCATGGCCCTTCCATGGTATGTAGCTGCTACTGTCATCTCCATCGCTCACATTGACAGTTTGAAGATGGAGACAGAGACTTCTGCACCTGGAGAACAGCCCAAGTTCCTAGGAGTGAGGTATGTTAAATCAGAAAAAAATGGTTCTACAAACCATCCCACTCACACATCCATGTGTCAGTCAGAAGGAGATGGGCCAATGTGGAGGAGAAGGGACTGGTGACAAATGATTTATTTTGGACTCGCTATTCTAGAAAGGACTAAGTTTTCATTCGAAAGAGAGTCTTCAACAATTTCTTGAGTTCACTTCTCAAGTTACATATATTTCCTTTGAGTAGCAAAAGGCTAAATGGTACAGAGTAAAATCTCCAACAGGTCATTCCATTTCTTCAACATGCAGGTAATTTTGGAACTGTGGTGTGTACTATATCACGATCATAACTAAAGGCTAAAGCCTTTAATTTTTCAGCTCTGTTGAGACTTTCTAAAACTCTTGAGTCTGCTTGTGATTTTCAAGATTCTATGAAAGGAAAGGAATTCTTATTTTCCACTTAATTTTCTGTCTCATAAGCACTGAGAAACCTTGACCGCCAGCTGTTCAATCTGGGTAGCCTTGAAGGGCTTCTATGAGACCTTTATACTCTCCTGTGTATTTTTTGCAACAGACTCGGCTCCTAAGTGCTCAGGCGACTAGCTCACACAACCGGGCCATCAGTTCCCACGCCACAACAGTGGGTGATTCTTGGGAGCTGGGGAAGGGGGTTGTTGTATGAGAATCATATTTGTTAAAAATTACTTTTGTTGTTGTTGATTTGGAAATGAGACTGATGGGATTTACTGCATTTGGGAAATTCCCTGAGCTGTTTGTTAATTAGAATGTGGGGCAATGTAATAACTGTCTCCTGTGAAGGAAGGTGTAATTATATAACAGTACAACTTGTTTAAAAAATAAGGGTTTCATATAGGCCAGTAACTGATTGACCAAGAGCAAGGGATTTTTTTAACCCTGATTCTAAAAGGACAAAGGATTTAGCGGAATTACTTTTTCCCCTTGATGAATTCAGATCACATACTGCAATAGTTTTAAGAGAATTTTATAGTTCTGTTGAGCCTGTAAGCTGCCCTTGAGGTGTTAATTACATATGATATCCACACCTTTGTGAAATATCGATTTGGTCAGTGTAGAGTCTTTTTTTTTTTTGAAGGTGAAAAGACAAGAGCATGTTTATGAAAATAAGAGGTAGATTGGTAATCTTTTGATTTGGTTTCAGGGAACAAAGAGTCACTGGAACCCTTGTGTTTATTCTGACTGGTCTGTCAGTCTTTATGGCTCCCATCTTGAAGGTAAATATATGAAATACTCACCTTCTCCTCCTTCTCAGAATACTGACAGATAATTGGATATGTGAAGAATAGAATTCTCCAGGAAGTATCAGCGCGTTTTCTTATCACATGCATAACACACTGAATGAAGCAGGGATCAGGTAGAATGAAGACTTTAAAACCTTTCATCTTTATCTTCTTCTCACTCCTTCATTCCTTCTATTATTATTATTATTGCAGTAATTTGGTTGAACCATATTAAATTACCACTATTCTAATTTTTTGACCTATAGCTAGGGCAGTTTTGTATAGTTCACTTACTACCTGAACTCCACTCCCAACATTTTTTTCACTCTGCTAGTCTCTCTACATCCTTTCTTCCCATCACTTCCCATTTACTTGTCTTTAAATCATACCCTCCCTTCCCACATTAGACTCCTGGATAACATGAATGACTCAGGATGATCATTTTGTAATTGTTCTCTTATTCTTAATGATTGCTGACTGTTTCTTTTTTCTTCAAATCACAAGACCTAATATCCACAAAGAGAGACTGAAGTTAATGATTTATAACTGGAAAACTTTAGAAATGAACTTTTGAGGAATAAAAATGATAGATTATTTAGAAAGTTAGGGTCAATATGCAGGTTTGATTGATGGGGTGAATGTCTCTCTAACAGATGACTATAAACTCTATATGAAAGCCTATTTAGAAGTAGAGATGGTACTAAAAAGTGTAATATATATATGTATATGTATATATATGTATGTCATGAAACTTCCCGTTTTCTTTTGTGACACAAATATTTTATTCTTTTTTATTATAGAAACAATACTTGCCAATGATTGATAATTTGTATCTTATGCTTGGCATTACAGTACAAAGCATGAATATCACCTATGGACCTAATAATAACTGTCAATAACCTCTGTTAGCAGTATCCTTCCAAATTTTTCTCTGAAAATTTTTGTTTGCTCTTAAACAATTCTCATTTTTGAATTGGTTTTTTAAATGCCTATTTAATTATACAAGTAATGAAACAGTACATTCTTGTAAAGAACTCAATTCAGAAGTTACAGGGCAAGGCAAAACTTCATTTCTTTCAAGTTCACACATTTATATGACAATTGCCACCTAGATGAACTCATGGAAAGTAGAAATATAATCCCAGCTTACAGCTTGGACTGACTTTACCTTCAGAATAATTCGATTAATGCACACAATATGCACACAACAGTTTGTAAACAGTAAAAAAGGCTTAAGTATTCATCCTTTGCCCTTGATTTCCACAATATCAGTTAATCATATAATTAATTTTTGACTGGAATCATGAAGGAATATGTATCTCATGTAACGTGTGGGGAAGTAATAGTAACTGCAAGGAATTTATTTCTGGTTACATACAGAGGACCTTAAAAAAGGACAGATCTTATGTTCTGTGGGGACAGAGGGAATCTGTTGTCCTTTTGCCAATACAGAGCAGGTTGTCGCGTAGATTTGAGTTGTTGTGTTTCATAGCATCGAATTCTCTGCTAAAGTGCTGTGTGTCTTCTGTCACCCCATAGACCCCAGCACATCAGCTGGTGGAAAGTCTAATGACAGTTTTTTCCCACATGGCCAATGGAACCTCATGTGGACAGGGCAGCTCTTAGAGAGATCATTGTACCTCAAGTTGTGGAAGGCTCTACTCAAGTTCCTCAAGTTGTGGAAGGCTCTACTCAAGTTCCTCAAGTTGTGGAAGGCTCTACTCAAGTTCCTCAAGTTGTGGAAGGCTCTACTCAAGTTCCTCAAGTTGTGGAAGGCTCTACTCAAGTTCCTCAAGTTGTGGAAGGCTCTACTAGGAAGGAATTTGCCCCTGGAGCCCCTGAAGGTGGACTCACATAACAAAACTGCAGAGTTTCTTTTATAAGATCTCTTAATACATCAGTTCAGTTCAGTCGCTCAGTCGCGTCCGACTCTTTGCGTAGGACGTAGCCACTAATAAAGATAAGTCAAAATCTTCCCATCAGTTCCTATGTACTCATCACTACCCACTCTTTTTTCATTTATTTTTATATTATTTCTTTTCATGAATGCAGTATAAAATCCTAACTCAAAAAAGTCAGATGTGTTTAAATTTTTTTGTTTGTTATAGCAGATTGGCTTTAACTTGGAGAATCTGTCAACTGAGTAATTATGCCTGATTCCAAAGGGACACAGAGAACAGTGTATAAACTGCTATTTTTAGGAAGAAATGCAAAGTCTCTTCCTAACTCTTTTCTCACCCAAGTATGGCTGCAGGGAAGTTAAAGCTGAAAGAACTTTATTTCTTCGTTTTATGCTGATTCTTTTTGACCCTGATTTGTAAAGCATGTTACTATCTACAGGAACAGATTACAGTGCAGAGAAAGGAGTGATATAGATATAAGGGATCACTGAGCATAGCTTGCTTTTCCTTTGACCTTCCTTAAGTACTCATGTTCTGGCTCCCCCTCATTCGGGTACTAGTATCCATGATTGTGGCTATTTCCACCTGGCAACTTTGGGTCAATACAAAGGAGTCAATATGAGAATCAGTGAAAAGTGAAAAAGGAGTTCAACAATCATTTGTGCTGGGCAAAATTTTGCCCAAAATGTGGGAAATGAAATTGTTTTGTTAATGTAGTTTCCAACATAATGTAGGAAATATAGATTTAAAAACAAGGGTTCAATAGTCTAGCACTGACTATTGCAATTCATTGCTTCAGTTAGTGAGGCTATTCCTTACTTCAGGAACCACATCTGAAAAGGTCAGCCAGTTTCAGATCAGGTGCCTTTCTCAGCACTGAAGTTTGCTAAATTACATGCATTTCACTACAGGAACCTTGTTAGCTCATTTGAAAAGTCAACACAGGAAAAAAAAACAGATGTTGAGAGTAGTTTAACTGAAACCTAAGTTATGACTGAGAAAAGTCAAGATTAACAATTAACCTCTGAATTCACTTAGAAAGTGGTATTAGCACCTAGCTTGGAGGAGGGAATGTGACTGTGTCTATATAACTGTGTGTTTTAATGAAACACATGACAACTTTAAGGAATGGTTTTACTTCAAAGAGCTGCCTTTGAAAGGTAGATCAAATGAATGAAACAGAAAGAAACATGTGACTTTTAAAAATTTCCTCCCAACTCCCTTCCACCTTTTCCTCCCAACTCCCAGGACCCCTCACAGGTTTGGTGGCCTCCGGTGATGCTAGTTATAATATTTTCTGCCATGCATTAAGTAGTCTGGGTAGTCGCTCCCCATGCCTATGTAGGCAGACTTACTGTGAACATTGATTACTTTGAAGTTGATGACTTCTGTTTTGATCTCTTTGCCAAACTCTGTCTTTTTACTGAGAAGAGTGCAATGCAGGGAATCGTGGTGTACTAGCTTTAAGTTCAGGAGGATACCCCTTGACCTTGGCCAGCAACCAGTGGTACATGCTTCACATCTCACCACTGGTTCAGTACAAAACTGCTGAGAAGCAGGAATAGCCGACTTCCCAGGCTAGCTAGACAGTTTAGATCTGTGTTTCTGCAGCGGAAATACTGACTGTTAAGCTAGTGTTCTATATGGGGAGACTCAGGGAGACCAAAGAGCAGGAAGGAGATGAAAGGCAGTTTCTGCAGCTTACTTTTTCCATTCTTCTGGCTAGCCTAAAGCAATAAAGATCAAGAAAAGTTCACTGCTATTTCTGTTGCCTTTGCTTGAATTAGTTTATCTTTAACATTAAGACTGACCAGAATTTATCCTTCAGATTTGTTCAGTGATCTAGAATGTGGAGGAGAGCATTTAATTTGTGTTTGGCAGACATTTGTTGAGCTCCTGCTATATGCTGTACACTCTGCTCAGTAACAGGGAAACAAGGAGAAGTGATAATGAAGATGATGATGTTGATGATAAAGATGATTGTATTCATAGCTCCCATTTATTGAACCTGGCTTTGAACTAAGGACTCTGCACATACTTTTTATATTTAGTTCTCCAATAACACCTACCAAAAGTATACTCACTTAGAATTTTTTTAATCTTAAAAAAGCTTTTAATTGGATTTCTTCACCAACCATATAATACACAGTTACTATGTTGTTAACATCTCAAATTTCTTTTTTTTTAAATTTTGTATTGGGGAATAGCCATTTAACAAACAATGTTGTGATAGATTCAGGCAAACAACGAAGGGATTCAGCCAAACATAGACAAGAATCCATTCTCTCCCAAACTCGCCTCCCATCCAGGCTGCCACATAACATTGAGCAGAGTTCCATGTGCTATACAGTAGGTCCATGTTGGTTATCCATTTTAAATATAGAGTGTGTACATTTCCATCCAAAACTCCCTAACTATCCCTTCCTATATCTACTTTATAGTTAAGAAAAATTGTGACTAACTTGCCAGGTCACAAAGTTCTTGAATTGTTCGAGCCAAGATTTGAACTCAGGCAGTTCTGAGTCCAAAGCCTGATCTCATAACCACATGGTGTACCACCTTTGAGTTAAAACAGTATTTGCCCTCAAAGAACTATTCACTTTCATTTTCCTTGAGATGATCTTCCCCAGCTTTTCCGACCCAATATCTAATTCTCTCAAGTATAGAGAAAGATAGCCATTTTACAAACTTCTTCATCATAGCTCGCTCCACAACTTCAATGCTTACGGACCAGATTGCAAACCTGCGGCTTCCTTATGTTGATTTTTCAGGCTTAACGGTGTGAAGATATTGTTTTAATAATATGTCCCTGAAGACAGTTGTTCGTGTTGAAAAAGCAATATTGTAAAACTTCGATAAAACCAAGGCTCGTATTCTGACCTTTGTAGCCCTTCTTCTGTCCTAAACTCTGCCATGTCAGGCCCAGCACAGAGGAGCCAAGGAAACTTGAGCTTTGCACTTGTAGGCTTCTCGACCTGCCACTAAAAGCCCTCTTGATAATGATTTCAGTACTACGTTCATTGAGGAGGGCATGACAACCCACTCCAGTATGCCTGCCTGGAGAATCCCCATGGACAGAGGTACCTGGCTGGCTACAGACCATGGGGTCACAAAGAGTTGGACACAACTGAGCAACTCAGCCCAGCACATCTCTACATTCGTCAGATATCTCTGATGAGCCAGACCCTGAACTAAATATCTGTGCTATGCAGTCTTTGTTATGGGGCTTTCCTGGTGGCTCAGCAGTAAAGAATCTGCCTGCCAGTGAAGGAGAGGTGGATTCAGTCCTTGGATCGGGAAGATCCCTTGGAGAAGGAAGCTCCAGTATTCTTGCCTGGGAAATCCCATGAGCAGAGGAGGCTGGTGGGCTACAGTCCATGGGTCTCACAGAGAGCTGGACACGACTGAGTGACTAAACAACAGCAAATCTTTATCATAAGCTCTATATGGATGAAAATACTGAAGACTGGGGAAGTTATTCATTTTCTCTGGGTTGCACAAGTACCAGAATTGTAACCCAGGTCTGTCTAACTTCTGTGCCCATGCTCTTATCAAGATCTCATTCTCGGTTTTATACACACACACAATGACTGTGATTCTGCTGGGAGACCTCATTCTCGTACTGATATCTGTACTGTGGACAACTGCAGACCCCCCTCCCTCCCCTTCTTTTTAAAATTACATTTACCTTTTTTACATTTTTTTTTCTTATGGGGATAATCTAACAGTATCAAAATCAAAGGGAGGAATATGTCACCAGAATTTGAAAATTTTGGTAACATTGTCTGAATATGTTAATATTGATCTCATCTCTGTTTCATTATTCTACCTAGTGATAGGATCAAGCATTTAATTTTTTTCATTTTTAATGTTTATTGAAAGCATTGTACAATAATATTTATCTACAACTATGCTTTTTGGCATTCTGGGTATGATTGCTTATTTGTACGATTTTTGGCATAATTTTATCATTTGACACTTCTTGATATGCCTGTGAATTTAGTATACCTTGTGTTCTATGTTTTAATTTCTCTTGTCTTACTTTATAATAGTGTCTCCCTGCTATTACTATGTATATCATAGTAGTTAAAATGGGATCCTATCTTTTTAAAGCACATTCTTCTTTTCCTTTCTTTGGGAAATTTCTGTTGTGATTAATGATTATATTGTGATGAATTTTTAGGGATTGACCTTCTGATATGACTCATAAATCAAATCCAATAAAAAATATCCTTTAACCCAGTAATTCTGTTATGTTTCATCAGAATTTCCAAACTGAAAGATTTTTACTGAGACACCACACTACCATAAGAAAATGGTGGATTTAATAAGACATTTGTATCACATTGAACTTAGCTAAAAATCAAATTATTAGCCTTCTTCATATGTACTGTTTTCACCACAGAATAATTTTTAAAAAATACGATCATTATCTAAAGCTATTTTCCTCCTCATACCATATTCTGAGTTAATGCTACCTTCTGATTTCATCTTGTGATTAATTTGGCAATATGTGTCATCATCAGTTCAGAAAGAACAGACCTAGGCACAGGCGCAAATTGCTTTCACTCTGGCATTAGAACCACGTTCAAGAAAATGCTTAGCTAAGCTTAGGTGACAGGTGGGGATAAGGTCCAAGATCATCTTTGTGATTACTTTCTTTTAAGCCAGATTAAAAAGTAACTATGGCAGGATTTCTAACAAGTTTCCCACGAATGATACACTTCTTTTCTCTCCTTCCACCTTTCATTTCTTCCCAAGAAATTAGAAATGAAATGATAAGAAATCATCATATATTAAGGAAGAATGGAAGTGGCCTTGTCTGTGGAAGATACTTTAAAAATTAAGAAATAAGTCAAAACAAAACAATAAGTCAAAAAATAAAAAGAGGTGATAATATGTATACAAATAACTGATTCACTTTGCTGCATAGCAGAAACTAGCACAATATTGTAAAACAACTATACGCCAATAAAATTTAATTTAAAAAAACAAGTCAAAAATATGAAAGGGTCTTTTCGTTAGTTTCATTTTGTATTTTCTTAATAAATTTGTATGGAGGCATCATAAGGAATGGAAACACGCATGTTCTAAGGAAAATGAAAACAACTGTCCAGACTCAAGCATCTGGAACATGATACATTCACCTCTGTGGTGACTGTTGGGTATTGCAGTAAGCACAGCTTCGCTGCCACTCACACTGTCCTTCCACCACCTTCAACTTTCGAAGTCATTTAATTTTCTGGGTTCAAGATCAAATTAGCTATGTTAAAATTGTTAGTCTTTTTTAGAAGAGGCACATAATGTTTTCATAAATTGGTATATTTGCTCTATATAAATTTAACAGTTTTTATAGCTAATCAATAACAGTTGGCAGTTATGACCTATTTTGGAATTTATCCTATTTCTCTAGTAGTCGCCAAAGGGTCTCAGATACAGAAATGTTTGAGGTAATCACAAGGAAAGGCTGGTAAACATTTTGCTTCAATTTCTTAATACATGTGATAGTTCTTTAAAAATTACTCTAAAGTCATACTGTTTTCTGGCTACAATAGCCTCCTTTGTGCAGATTTGGTAAGACTGGACTTAATTGACTGTGGTTTTAGTATTTGAGCTTTGAGAACTCCTGAACTTGAACTTCTTTTCAAAATCCAAGCTTGAGAACCCTTTTTTGTTGGTGTTCGGATAGAAGACTTCCCAGAAACAGTCATCCCTGATTTGATTTGTTTCCACAGCGCTAGGAACATTTCAAAGGTTTAGGAATAGACAAAAGTTACAAACATCATATTGCAACTTCCCTTACATTACTGTATAAATTCTTGATAACTGATGCATGAAAATGTATTAATTCATCATTAAAAGATGTGTATTAATCTGTGTGTGTGATTAATTGCTTCCAGATGCTCCATGCTCCTTTCAGGCAGCATTTTCATTAGTTAGTCCTCTTAATATTCCCAAGAAGAAGAAAGGAGACAGTCATTTGATGTTTACTTAATTGAAAGAGGCATTTATACACCGAGCTGATATTTGGTGTATAAATACTGCAATTTTCACTTGGTGAAAATTATTTAGAGAAAATTCAGCAGACTCTTGGGACAGAAATTTGGTCTCAGGAGTGGGGCAACCCTCTGCCTTTCTTTCTACTGCACAGTTCATGCAAACATCTGATTTACATGGTCATTCCTTTTAAGGGGAAAGGGAAACAGACTTTTTCTCCATTAAAAAAGTCATTTTAAGGTCATGCATGCTAATTGTTTTTAAAAAGTGCAAACAAGCATCAGATGCAATATGAGTCTCCTTCACCCCCCTTTATTTCTTTCTAGGACAAAGTGTTTAGAAGTTGGTCAGTGATGAGTACAGCACACTGATTAGTGGTCACTGTGTTACTAAGTCCTGTCTTTTAGTTTCAGATTTAGCTTTTATTTAAACTAACCCTCTCTTTTACTGTTTTTATTATTATTATTATTATTTTTTATTGTTTTTAAACTTTCTCCAATTTTTTTTTCCATCCTAGTTTATTCCCATGCCTGTACTCTATGGTGTGTTCCTGTATATGGGGGTAGCATCTCTTAATGGTGTGCAGGTAAGTTTTCCATAGCAATCTAAGCATAGTTTACGTTTTCTAGTAGTAGTATAAACAGTCCAGTAATAGATCATTGAAAAAAGTGCTAATCCTTAACTGCTGTTTTAAAATGCAATTATTTTCTATTTTTGCCACCATTCACCTGTGTCTCTGATTTAATTAACAAAGTAAATTTGTTAACGAATGTCATACATAATCATCCTTGAAATAAGCTGTTAAAGGCCATTTGACTAGGAAAGTAGGAAATCTCTCTGTGATCTCCCTTCCTCCCTCCCTTCTTTCCTAACCTTTGAATGTGCTCGAGGCACTATTTATCCATTTGCCTTTACCCTATACTAAGAGCAACCTACTCTTACGTGATTTGCTTTTCACATGGCTGAGATCACTGATCAAGAGTTTGGACCAACAAAAGGATCAAGTCAACATGGTTAATGTGCTACTTTTGTCCAAATCTTCAGTTTGTTGCATCTTGGATAAAACTGGCCCCCCTTTTTAAAAATTCGTTAAGGAAAACTTTGTAAGGGACTTTGTCTTTCAGTTGAGGTTTAATTTAATTGGCACCAGGAAACTGGAGGTACTGCTTTCTGGCGCCTTGTTAACTGTAGCCTTATTTAGCACTTAGTGATGTTTTAATGGAAAAGACTGCATGTCCTGTGAGGATCATAAAAATTTATTTAAACCCCTTTGTAATAATCCTTGTTTTCATTTATAGAATTTAGATTAATTTGATTTTAGAGTCCGATAGAATGGCCAGAACTCCAAAAAGAGAAAGGCTATTTTATTGAGTAGAGTTCCTTGCTTAGAGTTCTTCACCATTTGTATATTTATTACAAATACAAGGTGGTTCTTCATAGATTGGACTAGAAGAATGTGAATGTGGGTTTATTTCATGAATGTCCATGAAATTTCTGAGAAGTATAAATGTGTAAAAATATTTTTACCTAACATAGTAAATATTCTTTCTTACTTTAAATGGAAAAATGAAACAAACATGGTCCCCAAACAAATATTTCATATTTTTGTTTGGCCTAAATAAGTCAGTCTAGATCAAAAGTTTGATTTATGTGTTCTAGATGTATAATCAATGGTTGGAGCTACATGCTTATTAAGTCAAACAGAAAGGGAAAAAAATCAGTGAATTTGTAACAGTAGGGGAAAAAAGATCACTTGCCGAAAGGACAGCTAGTGGATTTTTAAAATTATACTGTGGTATTGCCCTATTGCCATTTCTTTTAACTTTTTCTCTTGACTCTCCCTCTTTTATTTTTATTTATTTATTATTTTGGCCATACTGTGCAGCTTGTGGGATCTTAGTTCCTCTACCAGGGATTGAACCTGTGCTCTCTGCAGTGAAAGCTCAGTGAACTATCCCTGGACCACCAGGGAATTCCCAGCTCTTCTTCTTTTAGACCTTTTTGGCAAGATTCGAGTTAGTAAAAAATTTTGTTACCTCAATCTTCATAGGTGGGACTGCTCCTATCAGTCAAAAATAACTTTGGAGGAAGGAAGAAAACTCTTTAAATAGGAAATCACTTCAGGGAAGATCGTGGTAGCCTATTTACTTTACATTTTCCCCTTTTCTCTAGAGAGAAAGTAGAGATATTATTTCAGAGTTCTTATTAAATGATCGTTCGATTCAGCAGATGTTTGGTAAGCATCTTCCATGTGAAAATTCCTATGGCAGGTATTAAATATCATCCTTATTATCATCATTGATGTAAACTCAGCAGTTATCCTTTGAACCACAACGCCTGGCACATAGGTGCTCAGTAGTCATTTTAATACCTGTCTATACATAACAGTGTGATAGCTTTTTCTAGATCAGGTATCTAGTTGTTGGTGATCTGAAAGTCACTACGATATTCACATGGCTTTTCTCTGGGAAATGGTAATTTATTGCTGAATATATTAGTGAAATTATGCCATAGATAAATAATGTGAAATTTATGAAAATACAAATGCATTCCCATTTTCAGGTCAGAAGCTTCTTTTATATCCTTAAAACAGTATTGTAATATACATGATACATAGTGTCTCCTCTTCTTTTCAGATAAGACAGCTTAGGCACAGCTAACACATGAGTTCACTATCTTCCTTCAACATGTTATTAGTAGCATAGACCCAGGCACGTCTCTCCTAAGGTGTAGACAGTACATGTAGAAAATAGGAGCTGAGGACTTCCTTGGTGGTCCAGTGGTTAAGAATCTGCCTGCTAGTGCAGGGGACATGGGTTCGATCCCTGCTCTGGGAAGATCCCACATGTTGTGGAGCAACTAAGCCTGCACACCACATCTATGAGAGTGTGCTCCAGAGCTGGCAAGCCACAACAAGAGAAGCCACTGCTCACTGCAACCAAGGAAGTTCATGCACAGCAACGAAGACCCAGCACAACCAAAAATCAATGAAGTGTAAAAAGATGAAAGGAAAACTCCAAGATCTTTAAAAAAAATGTCAGAGATGAGCATCTTGAGTTTATATTTGACTTTGAGAGTTTATTCTTTAGTGGCCACTTTGTCTCATGTTGTCCTATAACTGCATAACTTTCCTGCAAAGTAACAAAAACCAGAAGAGTCGTACTATGTCTTACTGTGAGAGATGATGCTTCTTCTCTTCCTGACCAGTGTCCTCTAACAAGGCCCCTGCTTGCCTAAAATATAGATTATAAAGCACCAGTGGTTAGTTAGACGGAAAGAAATGACTTGGTGCGTCAGCCCTTGCAGTGATGTGCTTCTCCTCTCCTTCCCTTTTCTCCCCAGTTCATGGATCGTCTGAAGCTGCTCCTGATGCCTCTGAAGCATCAGCCTGACTTCATCTACCTGCGCCACGTGCCGCTGCGGCGAGTGCACTTGTTCACTTTCCTGCAGGTGCTCTGTCTAGCCTTGCTCTGGATCCTCAAGTCCACCGTGGCTGCTATCATCTTTCCAGTCATGGTAGGGATTGTTCTGATTGAACCCACCCATGAGATCACACCAATATCATGTAGTCATTGTAATTTTGATAACACGTGTGTCTTTTGTGGATAGTTCCAGTTTTTTTTTTTTTTTTTTGAGTTTTGACCTAATCAGTTTGGTGGGTTATAACTTAAGGTTCCTAGGACACTGGTTGTCTAGGCTGGACCTTGTAGCCAGCTGAGTTCAGGTACTGGCTCTGGTTCATGCTGGCCCGTGAACTTCCCTGAGCCCCCATTAACTCATCAGTAAAATGAGAATGGCATCTTTGTTTTATTCTGTGCATCAATAATGAATATAAAGTGGATAGCACAATGCCTGACACATGGTAGACACAAGTACACATGAATTAGTTATTTTTAAAATATTGCTGTACATTGAAGTCAACCAGAATACTCTTCAGGCACACTTCAGGTCAAATAATAGAGGACCTGTTTGGCAACTTACAAGAGGTCAATGAGTGAATTAGAAGAAATGGAGAGATGAGCTTAGTTTTTGAAGCTCTTCAAATTTGTATCATGCTAAGTTTAAGGGTAAGTCTGGGCTCTCCTCACCATGTTATGATGTGAAGGAAGGTGAAATAGCTAATGTTCAGCTCTGAATCACAAATGAAGAAGGACATAAAAAAATGCTAGCTCTGTATTTGACTTCATCATTGAATTTGTGTGTGTGGGAAATAATGCTATGGTAGCTTTACTTTTTTTTTTTTTTTTTGCTTTTTTTCTTTTTAATTAAGTTGTTATTTCTCTAAGAGATGCAGAGGCTGACATAGAGCATAATATAAAGACAACTGTTAATTCGAAGTAGAGTCAGGACTTCCAGGTCCTACTGCATATTAATTTTACTGTTGAGCAAAAGCATCTTTAATATACCTTCAAGAGCAGTTCATAAAATCAGAGATACAAAGCTCAAGAGTCCTGGGGTTTGAGTTAGAAAGCTGGGACCTTTTGTATTCTCCCATTATCTGGCTTTGTAATCTTGGATAACCTACGTGTGTCCCTAAGCTTCAGTTTTCTCTGCTTTTGGGTTAGAGGTATTAACATCTACCTTTTGGGTTGGTCGTCATGGGAATAAACGAGAAAATATTGTCTAAGAGTTTACCACAGTGTCTGACTAAGGGTAAATATTCAGTTAAAGGTGGTGATTAAAGTCAGCCCATTGGAATAAATGGTCTGAGCAAACTAGGTACTCCCCCATTATTAATATTTTGGAGATGTCTCTGTGAACTGTGCATTGTACAGATTTTTTAACTTTCAAAAACCTGTATAATGTTTTAATTTTGAACAATTAGCAACCATATGCAGGCTGTTTTTCCTTTGAAACTTTATTTTATTAGAAATCTGAAGAAAATGCTTTAGAAAATAATGCTTTCACACAGAAATTCCAAATGGAGGGGTCACACACGACAGTGAACAAAATTAAGTGAGCCAAAGTAAGACGTCTATGAACCAACTTGCCCCGTGAAGAAAATGTTTATGGTCCACTTAATATAAGTCCATACAAGCCAGACAAGTTCTGTCATACTTCAGCCTTGTTCAAAAACGTTTCTACTGGTTTTGGTAGAGCAGTATTAATATGCACTCAGACTTCTCTGACGTGCATTCTTTCCTACCCTTTATATCTGTCCTTCCAGATCTTGGCACTTGTAGCTGTCAGAAAAGGCATGGACTACCTCTTCTCCCAGCACGACCTCAGCTTCCTTGATGATGTCATTCCAGAAAAGGATAAGAAAAAGAAGGAGGATGAGAAGAAAAAGAAAAAGAAGAAAGGCAGTCTGGACAGTGACAATGATGATGTAAGGGGCTTTCTAAAATTCCGAAGTAAAATTCCAAAGTTGGTTAAACAAATGTGAAAATTGTAATTTTTTTTTTAACCCTTCTGTGTGATATATGTCTGGTCATGCTCTTTGTCATTTTTCACCTTCCTTTGCTGTTTATTTTCTTTCTTTGTTTTTTAAAAATATTTTCTGAAATCTTCTGTAACTGAGAATATGCTAATAATGATATAATGACTTCTGAAAAATCAAGCCCACCATATTTAAAAAACTTTAACCTCCGATGACCTAGATAAAAAAAAGGAAGCTTGCTTCGTAGCTATAAAATGTATTGGGTTTATTATTGATAACCCAGGATTTAAATTTGAGATAATAACTCAGTTTTATATAATTTTAAGCCTGATGAGGACAAATGCTGGTGACCTCCCGTCCTTGATCTCTGTATCTACTTGAGTGGGCCCTCAAACAAGCTTCTCAGCTATTTTATTTATCCTTGCACTGGACTTTGACATAATTTTTAAAACTTTGTTGGGGTACAGTTGCTTTACAATGTTGTGTTAGTTTCTGCTAGACAGTGAAGTGAGTCAGCTATGTGCATACATACAGCCCCTCCCTCTCGGACCTCCCTCCCAGCCCATCCGTCTAGGTCACCAGACAGCACCAAGCTGAATTCGCTGTGCCATCCAGCAGGTTCACACTGGCTGTTTGTTTCACACATGGGAGTGTATATCTGTCTGTCTTACTCCCAATCTGTCCCACGCATGTGGCCACACTGTGTCCACATGTCCGTTCTTTACTTCTGCATCGCTGTTCCTGCCCTGTGAGTAGGTTCATCTGTACCATTTTCTAGATTCCACACATTGTGTTAATCTACGATATGCTATTTGTTTGTTTCTCTCTGACTTCACTCTGTATACAGACTAGGTCCATCCATGTCTCTTCAGATGATCCAACTCTGTTCCTTTTTCTGGCTTAGTAATATTCCATTTTATGTATATACTGCGTCTTCTTTATCCATTCATCTGTCTGGGCATTTAGGTTGCTTCCTTGTCCTGGCTATTGTAAATAGTGCTGCAGTAATGAACATTGGGATGCATGTGTCTTTTTGAATTATGGTTTTCTCAGGGTATAGTCCCAGTAGTGAGATTGCTGGGTTATATGGACTTAAGCATAATTTGAGATTGCTTTTCTGTAACCCTTCAATAAAATGGAAAGGAAATTGGCATTTGGGGTCTTTTTACATAATTATAATAGTCAGTGTTGTAATTTAGGTGATCCTCTTGCAATCGTATGACTAAGCTAAAGAATAAAATCATTATACACTTTTTAGGAAAACATTTCACAGAAATCTTGGTGTTTCACTAGAGTCTGTAATCAGGACTGGGAGAAAATCTTGGATTTGCTTTTCTTTCACACACACTCACACACTCACACAAGTAGCTTATTTCAATAGCTTTCTGAAAGGACAGCCAAAATGACACCTTTTACATGAAGATTTGTAGAGTTGTTCTAGGTTTTACACAGTGCAGTATCCCCACTCTAATGGAATCCCCAGTATCCTTCTAACATGAGTCTTGTTAGTTTTTGTTGTCTGGTCTGTACTTGATCATTTTGATGGATCGGGCATACCTTGTCCTTAATTGCCAAAACAGCTCTTTACTTTTGTTCCTGTTCTATGGATGAGGAACTTTAGATTGAGAAATGTTAAGTCATTTTTCTAAGCATACACATATTGGCAAAAGCAAAGCTCTCGTCCAGGCCTGTCTGGTTATTTTCGATTGGTCAAGCTGTCTGGTATTGTATTCCTTTTGGAGAACTTGGAAAGAGTACAGCCAAGGAAGGCAACAGATGAAATTGGATTTCAGATAAATTGATCCAATAAGAAAAGGCTAAATACATGAAGCACATTTAGCTAAAGAGAAAAGGAGTCTGAGGGAGCTTTTGTGACCATCATCATCCATCTTCAATGAGAACAGGTGTATAGATTTTCTGTTTCCAATGATGACAGAAAAAGAGAGAATGTGCTTAAACTGCAGCACAGATTAAGATGCAGTGTTAACAAGAACGATGCGTTTACACATTGAATAGAAATCAAATTTTGAAATAAATGTCTAGGCTACTCAAGGCAAAGAAAAGATCACCTGAAATACTGAGATAATTAAAGCAGTATTTCATCTTGAATTTTCAAGACCAGTACCTCAGTTTATGTACATGGACACCAAACTTAAAATTCATTACATGTTACAAATGTAAGAAATAATTTTATGGAATCATCTTCTCTAATGAATTTTAAGGAAAAAATAGTAATAAAATATCTACTTTTAAGAATGTTATAAATTTAGCGCTCTCTAATGTCGGAGGTTGGATCAAATGAGCTCCTGAGATGGTCTTCTAATTCTTAGATTTGATTTTCAGCAAATCACATTTTATTTAAGCAGTGCTATTCTTTTACTAACAATATTTATCATTTTCAATCCACATTTCCAACAGATTTCTTGACAATAATGTGTACTAAGTGTTTCTTTTTCTCTTTCTCCTCTTTCCCCTACCCCCTTACCCCCACAAAAAACAAACAAACAAGCTTATATATGTATCCTAGACAGTGAATCCAGCCAGAGTATATCTGTGCCATAAGTTCTGAGTATTGAGCCCATTATTGGGGATTCTCCATTTGAAATGTGGCTTTCCTAATGTTCACTTGGTCATTGTGTGGTTTGGTATCCATGGATATAGGGAGCCACACAAGGGCATGAGAATTCCAACTCTAACATTTGTGAGCAAAAGTAGTGAAAATTATGCCTTGCCCACCTTTTGAGCCACTCAGTCATTTATGAACCCACCCATTAGGCTATGTATGATTAAGGGTGAGCTGCCAATCTGTTCATCTATAAATGCTATTATTTGGGACAACTTTGAAATAGTGTACCAAAACCTGTTCTTGACATTTTCATTTTTTTTCAATTCCAGTGAAATATTTTAATCTTTTGAAATATTTTAATTCAGTATTTTAATTTAATATTTAAGGCTCATTATCCTCTTTAGATTTATCATAAAGGAGTTTTCTATATATGTAGTAGTTTTATGATAAGATTTGTTTTTTATTTTCTTTAATCCCTAGTTCCCATTTTTCCCGTTTCAACTAAATGTCATCTCCTCGGTACTTTCAGTGAGGAGCTGAATTCCATCTTTTGGGTTCAGGCATAGCCATGGATCCAGTATAATGAATCCTGAAAAACAGTAAAGTGTTAATCCTATAGAAATCTGTTACAGTTTTGTTTGGCTTAAGTGGTCCGTTCTTTAAGAAGCTTCACGATTTTTTATTTTGGTGATGCTTCTTTTCTGCTTATCTGACCATCTCAGGCACCTTCCTTTGACTTTATCTTCTCATGTTTTGCTAAATTTCCAAATATATTTGGAATAAGCTAGCGAAGATGAACCTTTACGTACAAAATAGTTTTGATAGAGTATTACAGTAAAGGACGGAGGGTTATTTTCAGGTCTATATGGATGACTCTTTGAGAGTGAATATTAGAGAAAGTATTCTTATGTGTCTTGGAAGGAAAGATAAGTCGTCATTTTCCTGTGGGTAGTGTTGGAAAGTGTAAATGAAACAAAATTTCAAGAACATATAGTTTAGGAAGTCTCCTAAATTTAATCTTTCACACTTAACTGTTTGTTTAAAAGACACATACAGTTAACCCATAAATATTTGATTGTGAATCCAGCTTATGGAAAACTTTACAATTGTTTTCATTTGTGATGGGCTCCATTTGTGTGGTTCTAGTTTTAACTGACTTAATTCCGTTAATCTAGAAGAAAGGAAAATAAGTGTGATGGGAAGATGCCATAGGACTTGAAAAGTTAGCAGAGAAGTGATTGTATCTAAGGCTGTTCTCCTTGGTACAGTGTAAATGATAATGTGATAGGTTTAATCCATCCTGGGAGGTCTGTGTAGTAAAAACTTTCTAAAAACTGTTGTAAATTTCTTTCACAGTCTGACTGCCCATACTCAGAAAAAGTTCCAAGTATTAAAATTCCAATGGACATCATGGAACAGCAACCTTTCCTAAGTGATAGCAAACCTTCCGACAGTGAGTAGAACTAACTTCTTGCATGCCGGCTGGAATATGATTTGCACTTTACAGAGAAAAAACTTAAGGACTGTCATCTCCATTCACTTCCCCTGTTTTCTTTTTTTTTTTCCTATGCAGATTTATACTTAATTATTATGAAATTTCATTTTTACATTCCTTGATCTTTATTCTTTACTTTTTCCTTTTATCCGTAACCATTTAAGTTTTTATTTGGTTGTCTTCTCTGATCCAAGTCATCGCCAGTTTCTTTGAATTGCTAAACTCATAACCATGTTTTTAATTGATTTCCTTTTTTTCTGCTGGTATGTAGAATGGCAGCTTCTAGTACTACCTCACTGTCTGTTACTGTTTGTCTTCCTTAGGTTTCCACCAATGATCAAATCAGCTCAAAAGAGAGATTGCATCGTGGGTTTCTCAAAGATCAATGAGTCAATTGTTAATACTGAGAATTTGACATAAATGTTATTTCAATTAAATTGGCAATCATTAAATATTACTACCCGTCTTTGGGTATAGCCTGTAAGATATTTGCATTTTCTTCCTAATTTCTTCATTCTCCTTCTGCTATTTCAAAATCATCTTTGTAATTGTACTGACCTTTCTGGGAGTAATAGCCTGGTGGCAAAGGTGTAATGCTTTTTGACATGTCATCTTCTTTTTTTTTTTTTTTTTTGTAATTAACAGGCCAGTTGAAAAGGGTAAACACTTTTGTAGTAACATTAGTGACTATTTCAAGCTTTTTCAATAGCAAGTACCAATTGCCTCCACACTATTTTGAGTTTTCATTTGAAGAAAACATACTCTTTGCTCCAGATGCACTTCAGAGTATCCTGATCTGTTACAGGAAAAGACAGTTGAAGCATTTTTATTTCTATTTGACAGTGCTATTTCAGCTTCAATAAGAAGTTACCAAGAAAAGTTTGAAATGAATGAATATTTATGGAAAATGGGTATTTTAAATTATCTCTTGGTGTTTATCACAAAGCTCAGCAGCTTAAAACAACAGACCTGGATCTCCTCACGTAGTTCCTGATGTTTAGGAGCCACTGGTTTGGTGATTCTGGCTCAAGGGCTCTCTTGAGGCGGCAACTCTCAAGCTCTTTTCTGGGTCTGAGTCTGAAGGCTCGACCAGAATTGGGGATCTTCGTCCAGGCTCAGCACAGGGCAGTTGGCAGGAGATTTTAGTTCCTTGGCTCATGGATATCTGCTAGGGCTGTCCCTGTCATGGCTGCCAGCAATAACAGAGAAAGAAACCAGAACAGAAACTGCAGTCTTTTATAATAACGTCTCAAGACTGCTGTACCATCTGCTGAGCATATTCTATGGGTTACACAAACCAACCCTGGTACAGTGTTCGGAGGAATTATATAAGGACATGATTACCAGAAGGTAGGCAGCATTGGTGGAGAAGGAAATGGCAACCCACTCCAGTGTTCTTGCCTGGAGAATCCCAGGGACAGGGAAGCCTGGTGGGCTGCTGTCTATGGAGTCGCACAGAGTCGGACATGACTGAAGTGACTTAGCAGCAGCAGCAGCATTGGGAGCCATCTTAGAGACTGGTTCCCACACTGGTTTAAAGAAAAGAGAATAAAAGCGGTCTCACCTTTGGTGTCCAATCTGTAATCTGTGACTGAGGCTACTTTCTTCTCGATCCTATCAGCAACATTTAGTTGAATATTTTTTTTTTAAGTTCAAGCTCCCCAAACCATTATTTGGTTTCATTTTTCATTTCCAGAGCATTAAAGAACAAAAAGAGACTGTAGAAGTCTTCTATTGGCATCATGACCTGGCACACCTCTTCCAAATACAATTTTAAAGCCACTTTTAAAAAATCAGAATGGTGGCTCAGAATGTAAAGAATCTGCCTACAGTGCAGAAGACCTGGGTTCATCCCTGGGTCAGGAAGATCCCCTCGAGAAGGGAATGGCTGCTCACTCCAGGATTCTTGCCTGGAGAATTCAATGGACAAAGGAGCCTGGCGGGCCCCAGTTCAAGGGGTAACAAAGAGTCAGGCATGCCTGAGTGACTGACGCTTTTACTTCACACTTTTTAAAAAATCACCAGATAGAATTTGAGGCTCCTGGAAAAAGTGTATGGCAGATTGATTATTTATTGCTAGTTGTTCTTCATTTTCTCAAAAACCTTTAAAAGGGTATTTTGAAAGTAGTGGATATGACATGAGAAATTTACTTAAGCAAAATACCCATGATCATTCTAAAATCTTTTCTAGTATCATAGAAATCCATGAAAGAACAAAATTGATAGTGGATTTGCAGTAGAAGAAAGTTCCTCAAAATCTTTATTTTACCCCCATGAATAGTAGCAGGACAAAGTTGTGAATGCTAAAGATGGCAGGAAATCCAAGGGCAAAGACTTAGGCATTCAGTAGATGTTATCATCCTCAAAATTCTTTAGCTTGCCCTCTCACTGAAAACAACAGTGGCCCATTCCAGAAAACCTAGAATAAAGGAAACTGAGTGATTTTGGCTTCATCACACTCACACTACTTAGATTCTTGATACAGTGTTTATTTAAATCATGTAAACTTGTCTTTCTTACTATTCCCAGTTGTGAAAGATGTATCCAATTTTTGTAAAGACTTAAAATTTTTTCCTTCTAGTGTTATACTTTACCAATGACTATTTATGATTAAAAAATTTTTTCTTTTTAGGAGAAAGATCACCAACATTCCTTGAACGCCATACATCATGCTGATAAAATTCCTTTCCCTCAGTCACTCGGTATGCCAAGGTAAAGGACAGCCCAGTATCTTACGTTGTTTCGCGGGGTGATTGCCCTGCAGACATGGAATCAATGGCAGGTTATTGGCAGGACACCCTGTTCTCCATCCTCCCTACAAATTTATCTTAGAAAAATTACCGAGACATCAGACCTCATCCAAGCTTTTACTGGTAGAAAACATTCTAAGAGACCTATTCCACCTACTCTTAGAAATAATGAAATCTTTCAGGATCGTTCAAGTCCAGGATCATACCAGTGTCCTCTCTGATTTGAGGGTAGCTGGCATTTCCTGGTGGCTCTTCTCTAGTAGTTTCCTTCCTTTTTAACACAGCTCTAGAGAGTTCAGATCCTCCTTGATTTTCAAAATCGTGAAATCTCTGAGTATTTTTCACATCAGACTTTTGGTCCTTTAACTCCTGACAGTGTCAGCTACCTGGTAGTTCTTTCTTAGTTGCTGGCTTTTTTCCTAACCTAGGTATGAGAGCTTATGAAACTCTTACTTGAATTTCTTAACTCCCATTTGGTAACTTCATCCCATTTTTGAAGTGTTTATTTTTAATACAGAAGGAGGAGATAAGTATTTAAAGAGAACAAAGAAGGACCCACTTGACTTCTGTACAACGCATAAACATTTGACAGATGGTAAAGGAATTCTGTTGTACTTACTATTTCCTTTTCTTTTTCTTTTCCTCTAGTCCTCCTAGAACTCCAGTAAAAGTCGTGCCTCAAATTAGAATAGAACTTGAGCCTGAAGACAATGATTACTTCTGGAGGAGCAAGGGAACAGAAACTACATTGTAACCTGTTTGTCTTTCTTAAAACTGACCGTTTTTGTTGTTTATGTTCTCGTTTTTTGTCTGATTATTTTTTAATTTTTGTTTTCTTTTGGTTTTTGGTCACTGGCCAAACACTACAGCTCCCTCTCTGCTTCTCTCTTGCATAGGTAAAATCCAGACAGTAGTGCACCATTCCTTAAAAACAACATCTGAAGAACCCCTTTTTATTCCTACACTTTCAGATATGTCCTCTGACAACCAAATTCCTCTGTCACTCAAGACATGCACAGACCCTGTCATTTTCCTTTTTTGAGCAGAGGGCAAAAGCATTAAGGATTTTATAATACCTTTTATTAAAATATTGAAGGAACTTCCAACATTAGCTTTGGAGCTGTGCTTACTGGCTTGTGTTTCTGTCTGGTCGAACAAACCTTGACCTCCAGACAGTCCCTTCTTGCTTGTATTGCTCTCCAGGACTGGACAACGTGCTGCTATTCTAACTTGCTCTTGCTTTTAAACCCTAATCTTAGACTTATCAAAAGAAGGAAAACTAAAGGTACTTTATTCCCATTAGAGAAACTATTGCCATCATTGTAGCAAGTGCTGGAATGTCCCTTTTTTCCTATGCAAACTTTTTTTAACCCTTTAATGAACTTATCTGTTGAGTACATTGAAAAATATTTTTCTTCCTAGATTTTGTTGTTTAAATTATGGGGCCTAACCTGCAACTTATTTTTTGTCAATTTTTTAAACTTTTTTTTAATTACTGTAAAGAAAATGAATTTTTTCCTGCAGCAGGAAACATAGTTTTGAGTAGTTCTACCTCTTATTTGTAGCTGCCAGGCTTTCTGTAAAAATTGTATTGTATATAATGTGATTTTTACATACACACACACACACACACACACACACACACCATCTCTAGGGTATGAGTGAGGGCTAGATTGGACTAAAAACACCATGTTTCTAAGCATCCATTTTTCCCTTTCTTTAAGAGAAATTTAACTGTTCTATGAAGGAGATTGGGGGAGGAGGGAGACGCTCCTTTGTGATGGGAATAACTGATGTTTTGATAGTAGTATCCAGGCACAGATGCTGATGGTATTACCATGTCAGTGTCCGATGCAGTATTGTTAGACTTTTTTTCATTTGGAAAATATCTGTGTGTTTGTGTCTGTGCTCTGTGTGTGGCTGGTGCACATGTGTGCAAAGTTAGAACGAGACAGAGTTATGGTAGGGAAAAGGCAAAGTAACTAGCCTCTTGTGTCAGTTTTTATAAAATCCAAACCACTTATGAAAAATCTACCAGAGGTCCAAGATTTACCTTTATGCAAATGAGGGTAAATATATTTTATTACCCAGATAGCAGTCACTATCACTGATATAGTAACCCTTCTTTACAATACAAAATCCATAAGACTATATAATAGACCATTTACACATTTAAAAAGTGTTTATGGGAATGCAGGTAGATCTCAGAGGTATTATATAAGTATACATTTTAACAATACTCACATTGTCTTTAAGATTGAAAGGCAATTATTCTTTGTTATTGGGGCGTTTAGAATATATATGTCTATATATGTGTATATGTGTATTTCAAAGTACCACATTGAAAATTAGACAAATGAAAATTAGATCTTTAACCAAATTTAGCATGTTATCTAAATGTAATATCTTAATAGTCTGCATTATATATTATGAATTTGCATTAAAAATAGCATTTTAAATGGTGAATCCATAATTTTGGATTCCTAAAACCATATTTGTGATGTATCCTGACTAAGACAGGTTATTGGAGGAGTACTAGAAGCAGAATGAAACCACTTATTTTGGTTTCATAACATGTACATATTGACTCCCACTCATTCTTCTATTAATTAAATTATAATTCTGTCCTTTTGAAATTTTCATTATAAAAATTTTATTGTCCTAAATTAACTGTTAGTTTTATAGTATCTGATAATCTTAAAACTTTTAATTTTATACAAAATAGACATAAATGACCTACAATTTTTTCATTAAAATGAAGGTGGCAGAATAAATGTTATTTGTTAAAACCTCACGTGCCAAATTTTGGCATCATGTTTGTATTTAGAGCTGTCCTTAAAATGATGATATTATCTTGTTTTTCATTATCCTAATTTAAAACTGTATGAAGCTTTTCTTTGTCTTTCTTATGGGAGCATTGATAAAATGTTTAAATGCCATGCATATTAAGATTAGCCTAACCTAGGATCTTGTTAAAGACACATTTGTTCACTTTTATATTCTAGATAGAATAATTTATATTTCTGATCATGAATCAAGTATCTGAGGGTTCGTGTCCCTTTCTGTCCCTTTCAAAGAACTCCTGAAGCAACTTAACTCAGTATTTCAGCCTTTGAGTAGATAAAGCTACCTGTACCTTCATTTATTATCCATATTCTGTGATGGAAGATTGATACTCATGAATGCAGGGAAGCACCTTGTATTTGCTAAAAGGAATAGTTAGTATCAAATCTTTTCAATATTTTGGAACCCAAGGAAATATTTTAAAAATCACTTACTTTCAGAGGAGCACAAGTAGTTACCAACCTAACAAACAAACAAACCCTGAGGTCCACACAGAGCTACCAAATTATCTGTATTTTAACTGAACGTGGGCTTCCCTGGTAGCTCAGATGGTAAAGAATCTACCTGCAATGTGGGAGACCTGGGTTCAGTCCCTGGGTTTGGAAGATCCCCTGCCTGGAGAAGGGAACAGCTGCTCACTCCCAGTATTCTGGCCTGGAGAATTCTATGGACTATATAGTCCATGGCGTTGCAAAGAGTCGGACACACGACTGAGCGACTTACCCTTTCACTAACTGAATGTAGCAAAGAACTAAAGCAGATTTTGGGGTGGTTTTGTTTTTATGTAAACTGGACACACAGAATACAATAGTAAATTTGTTTTACCAAGTGTTTCTCCCTGATGTAAACACAGAGATAAAAGATTTGTGTTGTTAAAAGTAAAGGACTAAGTGTACATACAGAGTTGTTAAAAGTCCTATGGTTGTACTGACTCGGTGTTGGAAGGAGAGCATCTGCTTTATCAGAGCGTGAAGACTTGTGGTCTTGCATTGGAGAGATGTTTTAGAGACACTGTTTTCCTGGGTAAAAGTCACTCTACTATGTAAAATAATGATCAAGTTGGGATCCTAATTGTTTTGTGTGCCCTACTGGGTACAGTTCCTGCCTCTTTTTCCAGTCAGGCAGTGGAGTAGTGTAGGGGGGTGGAGAAAGTCAGACAAGTAGGAAGACAAACCTTCTCTAGTCAGCCCCCAACCAATTCAAAGAATGGAGAGATGAGAAACAATTGTCTGCCATCAGAAATTCAGTTTGAATGTATTCTATGCACATGCACCAACACACACAGAGTAAATCTTTAATCAGCTATATATTGGTGTTTAAAGCAAAGAACGATTGTCTTCCAAGTTTTTGGTTCTTTTTTAAAAAACTGTGTTAAGTACTTGAAATGTGTTGACTGCTGACTATCTTTCAAAAACAAAAACAAAACCGTTTGAGTTGTATTACAGAGGTTGACATTGTGCAGGGATGGGACAAAGCTTTCTTCAATCCTTTTCATACCACTTCATGATTTTGGTGCAGGAACTTGAGATGTTCTTGTTTATTCCATGAGATTTCACATCTACTCTTCACAGTGTGAGCATGAAGCCCAGTGGCACCAAGTGGCTGAATACAATTGAATGATACTTTGCTTGGGCCTTGGGAGTTTTCAGATGATTTCATCGAGCCTCATTGTAGCCTGAAATAAAGAAGTTGTGTGATATATGCTAATCAGTCAAGTTGCTTTTTGACCAGAAATTTAGATATGTTCTATTTTTTGGCTCTCATTTTTTTTGTGCTCTATGGGTACATACAAAAATCCTGAATTCTGTTTCTTAGGCAAATATTGCAACTCAGGGCTAAAGTCATCCAGTGAAACTTTTAGAGCCAGAAGTAACTTTGTCCCAGTCCTACAATGTGAAAAGAATGAATAGTTGCCTCTTTTTAGCCATTTTCATGGCTGGTACATATCCGTACACATTACTTTTCAGAATCAATACGCACTTTCAGATATTCTTATTTTTATTCTCTTAAGTCTTTATTAACTTTGGAGAAATGATGCATCTTTTTATTTTAAATGAAGTAGATCAACATGGTGGAACAATG